GGGGAGCGCGCTGCCCCCGCCGCTCGTGGCGAGCTGGCGCCGCGCCCGCACCTGCTGGGCGGCGCGTTGCGCTGCGCGGGGAGGGGAGAGCGGCGCGGGGCGGACTGAGCCTCCCCGAGCAGCGAGGCCTTGCGGGAGGGGGGTGCGGGAAGCAACGGCGTGTAAAGTTGTCTTCCTGTCTCTCTAATCTTGTCTCTTTTTGGAGAAATACCCCTTGAGGTTAAGGGGTTTTCTGGTGGTAAGACCCCATTAACCTTTTCCTTGGAGCGTGGGCTCCTCGAGTCGTCCCCTGTGAGGAAAAATGTGTATGGCAGCAAAAGGCGAAGGCCACTGCGGCTTCCTGCGGTGCGGGCGCTGCAGCGGCTGCTCTGCGCCCGCTGCCTGCTGGCCACGGGCCCCTGACAGGTCCTGCGTCTGGAGGGTAGCCCAAAACCCCAGTGAGGTACTAACAGATCATTTCCAAGCAGTGGCTTTTTGTTTTTATTTATGATTTTCTCCGAAGCGGTCCCTTCCCCAATGGAGCGGTTCCAGAATTGTTACTGGTGTTATTTAGAAGGTGAGCTTACCCTCCCAAATGAGCTCGCACCATTAACGCTGCTTGGTGGAGCTGGGTTGGGGCCTGGAGGTCCAAACGGCGCTGAGGTGCTCTCGCTGTGGAGATGGTGAGTTTGGGCTGGCTGCTAAGGAGCATCTCTTTCAGGAGACCTTGTAGAGTAAAATTTGCACTGGATTTATGTGGGGCTTTCTGATGGCTGCTGCTTGTCATCGGTAGCCCTGTTTCTTCATGATGTCAGCCTGTTTGGGTGCCTTGTCTTGGGCTAACTGGCAGACACCAGCGTAGTGACAGATCTGCTTGATTTCTCCACTACTTTTCTCTATCCTGAGTGGAATGAACTTAATTCTTAGACTGTTTAAGAAACTATTGCAAGAAGCTTCTTTTGCTCCATAAACTGTCATTGTCCGCACTGCCATTGTCTGATAATGACAGTGCTGCTATTTTATTTTTTCTCCCATTTATCTGCCTAGTTATGCTGGAACTCTTGACACTGGACAATTATACCTAGATATCAGTTTAAAGCTGGAACAGAATTCATGATTCCAGTGTAGCTCTGAACTCCTGCTTAGAAGTGGCAGGAAAATGTCATTAGCTAAACAAATCTTCAATGCAGAATAAGTGTTCTCCTTTGAGTAGTGGGATTACGTGGAACTTGGTATTGAGAAGGCTGAAACTCTCTTCTGTGTTATGTAGAGCAGCTCTTAATAAAGTATTGTGGAAACATGTCTGTGATGCATTATTTAAGATACAAACCATTCATGTGACCAACCAGCAGGTCTCTGATGACATGAGTACTCTTACATAATGAAACTCATCTGCTTCACTCCAGGGGCACTGATAGGTTTTGTGCCAATACAACTGTGGAAATTGTCTGCCTCTTCTGCACAGTTTTCCTTCCCATTTAATGTAGAGGGAATGACTTGACAACATGCCCTCCACAGCTACATGTGCAGGTTGGTCATAAGACTTGGTGTCCAGCGCTCTGTGCGATTGTGCCTCTTGCCCACACCCTCAGTTTGCTTGTAACTACTGAACTTCCTCATTTTCTTTCATTGAAAAAGCTTAGAGGAACTTGAATTCTGGGAGGCGCCATTTTCATGCTGAGCCTTCCACTTTGCTTTTGAAGTTTGAGAACAGAAACAGCGATATTGCTACGTTATTGCAGTCCTGGGCCATCTTAGCCTGCTGCAGGTTGTTCATAGGCTGTCTTGATGAATCAAACAACTCTACTTCCTCCACTGTTTCTGACCTACATCACTAGGAAACTTGTTGTGCAGGTATTACGCAATATGGGCAAGAGTAGAGCTAATGTTTAACTGAACAACGTGGTACCAAGCT